GAAACCTGGTTAAAACTTTAAATGGGAGGGGAACCCTTAAAAAAAAAAAAAAAAAAAAAAAACACACTAGAAACCTGCTACAAAACTGATTGGTGCATTTCTAATTGAAGTAAGTTTTTCAGTAAATTTGGCTGCAAATGACAAACTAAACAAATCGTTTTGCATTATTCCCCCACTGCACTCAAATGGTTCAGTAAAGAAAATAATGACGCCGCTCATTTAAATTTTTTGACAGATGCAGACAATTCATGTCGTTTTATATTCAGATTTATTACAATTATGAATTAATGTTACAGTAAGCATGTGAATATAAAAAGACATAAAAGCTAAAAAGTACCAAAGCTAAAAAATTTTTAAAAATAAATAAATTAATAAATAAAATGTACCAAGGAATGTGGTACCGAGCCGTAAGACTAAACAAAAAACTACAAACTGATTGCTTTACCTGTGTATCTGGTCTTGCCTGCTGGAGCGAACCGGAGCCAAACCATCGATCTCATCGAAGAAAATAATTGATGGCCTCATCAGGTAAGCCTTGAGGGGAGAGAAAAAAGAAGAAAAAAAGTCACACACAACAAAAAGGTGAAACTTTACTACATATTTTTCATGAAAAATTGTTAAATAGTTGGGTTTTTTTGAGTGTATTGTACTGAGGTTTGGTTTTTCTCAACAGCAGAAATCAATTCATGAGGTAACATCCAGAGAGTCGGCCAAACGACACTGCTGTGTTGTTGCTGGTCCATCTGAAAGCAGAGTACAGAAATGTAACCGACCTGATCAAAGAGGAGGCGTAGCTGCCGTTCTGATTCTCCGACCCATTTGCTGAGGCAGTCGGCTCCTTTCCTCATGAAAAAAGCGACTTTCCTATCTCCCTGACTGCACTCGTTGGCAAGAGCCCGCGCAACCAGAGTCTTTCCTGTTCCTGGGGGTCCGTAAAACAAACACCCTCTAAAAACAAAACAAAAAGGGGGGGAAAGAATACCAATTATTGTAGATTTTATTTTTTTTTTAATAAATCTACTTCAGTTTCATAAACTCCCTCTTCAGAGTTAATTCCACCAAAAAATAATGACTGAGCAATTTTTATTTTTTTATTTTTTTTGAGTTCCTCTCACCTGGGAGGCTGAATCTTAAATTTTTCAAAGACCTCAGGATAGAGCAGGGGGAACACCACCATCTCCTTTAGAGACTGGATGTGACTGCTGAGGCCGCCCACACTGTCGAACCTCACCTAAGAAAAAGACAAAAAATATACATATTGCAACACATGGAGAAGTGAAGTGAAGTCACTCGCACATCTTGTTGCTTTACTAATCTCTAAAAACTAAAGAGTGGTTCATTTTTGTAACAGAAAACGCAGGCGATTGTAAAAGTATATGACCACCAATATGATCGATTTCTCAATGTTTTTTTTCCAAGTTTTATTTGACAAACCAACTCAGTTGTACATGATTGCAAAGTGGAAGGAAAATGACAGCTTTAAAACAAAATACATTTTAATGCATATATTTCACCCACATTTTGTCAATCGTGTGTTGAATTTTACTACAGAAAAAAACTGAAAATGTAAAAACTGAAACTTCTCCCTTCATCTCCCCATAAAACTGAACATATTTTTTCTCCTCAACGAAGTAAAGCTTCCCCAACAGTCTCATGCTGCCACCACCGTGTGTTACAATGGGCACGGAGTGAGACGTAGAGTTCGTTTTTGTCTGCAGAGTTTGCATGTCGCACGTAGACATTTTTATTTCATTAGCGATCAAGCGTTTCCAGAGTAAAGAGGCCTGAAACTATATGCACAAGTATTTGTTTTCTATGTATCGTTTCCCTTTCACTTCCCAATAATGTGGTCTGTCACATGAAAAGTCAGGTTTGTGGTTGTACAGTGGCAAAATGTGAACAAAGTTTGGCTAAGAATACCATTAGAAGACGCTGCACGCCTCAGCTCATGAAACTTCCACATTAAAGTCGAGTTGGACTCGTTAGTATTTCCACTCACCGAATTATCAAGGCTCATGGGGTCCACATCCGCCAAGCTGGTGCCCACTTTAACTCTGTCCCGCAGCACGCCGCTGGACAAGCTGTCAGGCGTCAGGTTTATGGGTAAACATCTGTCGAGATAAATTGCCTGTTATAAGTTTGTTTTTGTTTTGTTTTGTTTTACCTCTGTGGGAAAAATGTAACTGAAAATAACCGATCTGCCTGAAAGACAATTAGAGGGAAAAAAACAAAACAAACTTGAAATAACATTTTAATGTTCCCGAATTAGTTTTCACTGATTATAGCCGTGATCTAAAAAATAATGGGACCAAAAAAAACCAAACAAAAAAAACACAGCGTTCAAAAACTCCAGCCTTCGACACAAAGTGTTTTTGTTACACTAAAATGAAAAATCACGGTACAGAGCAACGAAGATAAAAAGCTATGAAGAAGAAAGCGACGGTAGACACCTGTTCCTGGCCCGAGTCATGCTCTTGCTTTTCCTTCGCTCAAAGCGTTCTTCATCAGATGATGAGGTGGTGTCACTGCTGTGGATGGCATGTTTCTTCACTCTGGGAAAATACAACAAACCTCATCTAATACTGCTTCATATGCAAGAGTTTTATTCGTTTTAGTGATACGCTACTAAATACATTGATCTTGTATTGAAAAAAATCCCAGCCCACCTAATATGGCTTCTTCTTGCTGGGGATCTGTGGGTGTCGAAAAGCGACGGGTTGCTCTGTTTTCTGTTCACAGGCTCTGAGAAGGCAAACACAACGCGACCGCCGGTTAGACGACAAACCAGCGATGCGACCGAAAATGAAAAAGCCGAGGTTCGAAAACGCGAAAGACTAAATACCGATCGGTGGCGCTTCATATCTTTGCACCGTCTTCCGCTGCCTCAGGTTGTACGGCCTGTCGTTTTCCTCCCCCGCCTCCTCAGCTTCATCCCCTTCATCGTCTTCGTCGTCATCCTCTGCGTCGTCCTCCTCCTCCTCTTCATCGCCGTTCGACTCTGAAAGCAAGAAGTGACGCTTACGAACTTGAAATAAGACTCAAATGTGAGAATGCACTGCCGGTAGCTCCAAAAGACAAAACAGCGAAAAGAGGGAGATTCCACCTTATTGACATTTTATGAGCAAAATCCAAAGTGAAGCTGCTGCTGCTGCTGATTGCCTTTGCTAAATCACACAGACCAAACATGGCAACAAAGGAAAAGCGAAACCTGTTTCCACTGCCAGTACCATGCCTCTTTTTGGGGTACAAGCAGATCTAGCCAAATCAAAGCATCACAAAACAAAGGTTTTCCAACATTAGCACGGACGAAGCCTCCCCAGATAGCACATGATGT